AAGGTAAGGGCCTAGTAAGGCTTTGTGTCAGTTACAAGATAAGGGCCTAGTAAGGCTTTGTGTCAGTTACAATGTAAGGCCCTAGTGTGGCTTTGTGTCAGTTACAAGGTAAGGGCCTAGTGTGGCTTTGTGTCAGTTACAATGTAAGGCCCTAGTGTGGCTTTGTGTCAGTTACAAGGTAAGGGCCTAGTGTGGCTTGGTGTCAGTTACAAGGTAAGGGCCTATTGTTGCTTTGTGTCAGTTACAAGGTAAGGGCCTAGTGTGGCTTTGTGTCAGTTACAATGTAAGGCCTTAGTGTGGCTTTGTGTCAATTACAATGTAAGGCCCTAGTGTGGCTTTGTGTCAGTTACAAGGTAAGGGCCTAGCGTGGCTTTGTGTCAGTTGCAATGTAAGGCCCTAGTGTGGCTTGGTGTCAGTTACAAGGTAAGGGCCTAGCGTTGCTTTGTGTCAGTTACAAGGTAAGGGCCTACTGTGACTTTATGTCAGTTACAAGATAAGGGCCTAGTGAGGCTTTACGTTAGTTACAAGGTAAGGGCCTACTGTGGCTTTGTGTCAGTTACAAGGTAAGGGCCTAGCGTGGCTTTGTGTCAGTTACAAGGTTAGGGCCTAGTGGCTTTATGTCAGTTACAAGGTAAGGGCCTAGTATGGCTTTGTGTCAGTTACAAGGTAAGGGCCTACTATGGCTTTGTGTCAGTTACAAGGTAAGGGCCTAGTATGGCTTTGTGTCATTTACAAGGTACGGGCCTAGCGTTGCTTTGTGTGAGTTACAAGGTAAGGGCCTAGTGTGGCTTTGTGTCAGTTACAAGGTAAGGGCCTAGCGTGGCTTTGTGTCATTTACAAGGTAAGGGCCTAGCGTGGCTTTGTGTCATTTACAAGGTAAGGGCCTAGCGTGGCTTTGTGTGAGTTACAAGGTAAGGCCCGAGTGAGGCTTTGTGTGAGTTACAAGGTAAGGCCCTAGTGAGGCTTTGTGTCAGTTTCAAAGTAAGGCCCTAGTGTTGCTTTGTGTCAGTTACAAGGTTAGGGCCTAGTAAGGCTTTGTGTCAGTTACAAGGTAAGGGCCTAGCTTGGCTTTGTGTCAGTTACAAGGTAAGGGCCTAGTGTGGCTTTGTGTCAGTTACAAGGTAAGGGCCTAGTGTGGCTTTGTGTCAGTTACAAGGTAAGGGCCTAGTGTGGCTTTGTGTCAGTTACAATGTAAGGCCCTAGTGTGGTTTTGTGTCAGTTACAAGGTAAGGGCCTAGTGTGGCTTTGTGTCAGTTGCAAGGTAAGGGCCTAGCGTTGCTTTGTGTCAGTTACAAGGTAAGGGCCTACTGTGACTTTATGTCAGTTACAAGATAAGGGCCTAGTGAGGCTTTACGTCAGTTACAAGGTAAGGGCCTACTGTGGCTTTGTGTCAGTTACAAGATAAGGGCCTAGCGTGGCTTTGTGTGAGTTACAAGGTAAGGGCCTACTGTGGCTTTATGTCAGTTACAAGGTAAGGGCCTACTATGGCTTTGTGTCAGTTACAATGTAAGGGCCTAGTATGGCTTTGTGTCATTTACAAGGTAAGGGCCTAGCGTTGCTTTGTGTGAGTTACAAGGTAAGGGCCTAGCGTGGCTTCGTGTGAGTTACAAGGTAAGGGCCTAGTGTGGCTTTGTGTCAGTTACAAGGTAAGTGCCTAGCGTGGCTTTGTGTCAGTTACAAGGTAAGTGCCTAGCGTGGCTTTGTGTCAGTTACAAGGTAAGTCCCTAGTGAGGCTTTGTGTCAGTTTCAAAGTAAGGCCCTAGTGTTGCTTTGTGTCAG